CAGGTGGCCCCCGCGCTGGTGGGGATGCGCAACCTCCTCGACTCCGAGCTCGACGGGACGAACGCGGCGCATCGACTGCGGCTGCCGCCGCCGGTGACGCCGCTGTGGGAGGATCGGCTGTTTATCGGCGGCTTCCCCGGCGACGAGGCGCTTGAGATCCTGCGAGCGGAGGGCGTTCGGCACCTCATTAATTGCTGCTCGCAGGACTCCCAGAACGACCCAGTCGTCGCGGCGGAATTTAACATCCACAATTTAGAATGCTACGATCGACCCGATTACCTCATTTTGCATCACGATTATGACCCTTTCAGGAATTTGATGATGCAGATCCTGAAGAGGCAGGAAAAGGTCTTCGTGCACTGTATCGGCGGCATCAATCGAAGCGTGACGCTGTGCTGCGCCTTCCTTGTGGACCTGTTACAAATTAGTCCCGTTGCTGTCATCAAGACGCTTCGAAAAAGTGGACGAATGTATATCTTAGACAATATCGGATTCAGACATCAACTGGTGGACTTTTACTTCCAGGTAGTCCTTCCTCGTGTTAATGAGGAGTAGGTACTACTCAGATCATGAAGGATGTGAAAAGGAGATAAAAGTACAACAAATGTCTCCCTCCTTCCTCTTCCAGTTAGACTAATTGGATTAACAGAATGGGGTTACTTTCATTTTTTTGGTTGTTTTGTTTTTTTAAAAAAGAATGCTTTACAAAGTTCGATCCTGCTTGGGACATGTGTCAGATAAAAGTTTTCCCTTTTCTCACCATCAAGAACAAAAAAAGCGATAAAAGTGAGTGCCTCATTCAAATTAAATCTGAATACTATATTCAGCATTCTGTCAAAATTGCTTCATGATATGTCATGACGCGACATTATCGGGAATGCTTGTTTATATGGGCACGAGCTCCTTTCCGAAAAAGAGTGATCAACACGAAATAAAAAAATCTAAGGAACAAAGTTTTTCTCTGTCAGAGGGAGGAAGACCCTAACGTTGTCGCTCAATGCAAAAATCTAGAGATTGGATACTAAGGGACAATTTATTTGTTGTGATAAATTATCGTTGCTGCCATTCTTATTAGTCTATGTTTTCCCAGGTATGAAAGAAACTAAAGAGGGAAAAAATATTTGCAACAAACCGATAATACATAATCCTAGATACATTTATATATAAATATAGATGTATCGTTTTGATGTCCTTTCCTTTAGTTTATTAAACTCACTAAGTTTACAAAATGTATAATACGTTTTATATAAACATAGAAGAAAAGACTTATCTGATTCGTGAATTTTTAAAAAACATCTTATATAGTCTACGTGCTCACGGATATTGGAACAGTATCCGTTTGCGATAGGTTAACTGCTCTGTGTATGCAATCACTTCGTATTTTAAAAAATAGAATGGAACTTGGATAAGGTAAGCAAAGAGAACAGCAGTGCACCCAAGTGAATTAACCAAACCAATAAAAAACAACTTATATTAGGAAGTGTCTCAAATTTTTCATGTTTGATCAGGAAAGTGCCCATTACTCACTGGATCCATTCACATATGTTGTGACTCGACAGGATGTTGAGGATGGCAGCGCGACTCTCCTACATATTGCGTACGATAATGTCCAAATCCCATTATCTGATCTCCGTGCGGTGAATCCCAATCTCAAGGACGTTCCCGCGGATAAGATACTTCCCGTCGGGACAGTTGTGCAGTTGCCTGTGATGCTTGATCAACGCGGTGACTCCTCGGGGCCTTTTTTTACTATAAACAACGCCGAAAATCAACTGAAATCCTGTGAAGATAGGATGACCTCTTTGGTGGATGAGTGGGAGCGGAACGTGGGGCCACTACCGTTGCCAATTAAGCGGAAAGTCTTGTCCAAGACTGAGCAGGTCCTTCAGATTGTAGAGAGCGAGGTGGAACGGCAGCTGCCGTCTATTCAAAATATGCATGATACGCTTGGGAAGAAAAACCAACTACTACAATACCTTGTTGACGTTGAAAGGGTGAAGGCAAAAGAGATCGAGGTGGAGAAGGAATTTAGTGCGTCAAACATTCCCCTTATAAGTTACGATCCCGAATACGCACTTTTGTGGCCTTCATATCAGCGGTTAATTTCCGAGGATAACCTCACGGAACACACAATCCAGACGAAAGCGGACACCGATGACGACTTCTGCATGGTCCACACCCATCGATGGGAGTTTACGATTTTGGCGCCAGGTTCTATGGACGAATGGGAGACGTGGGCGGTGCTTTCCTGTCAAAAGCTGGCCGTCCTTCTAGATGCAATCAACTGCAGCCCAAGGCTCCCTTTCCCACTCTCCAAGAACGCCTTTCTATTTATCGGGGACACCTTTTACATCGATGATCGACACCGAGACGATGCGGATTATGAGGATCTGAGTGCCGTTATAAGGGGTTGCGCGCCTTCCTATCTTCCCGATGGCGAACCACCGGCCTTTGGCCGTGGTGTGAATGCCGCCTTTGCGCGCTGCCCGGTTCGGAGCGCTGCCGAGGTCACTTTTGGTGAGCTGCATGTTAGGCAGAGCGAAACATGCGTTCTACGCCATGCTGGCGGTTGTACACATTATTTCTACCTCCAAGGCCCTCGCTGCCTGCGCGAGGGCTCCCGGACGCAACGTGAGCAATTTCCGCACCGTACGAGGCGGCGAAAGGATCGCGTACTGCGATGCCAGATGTGTCATCAGTTTCCCTCCACGATCGCGCTCTACGGGGACGAGCTCTCGCTGGAAACCCCTACGGTGTATTGTGCGATATGCTATGAGTACTTGCACGGCGGGGAAAGTGAGGCAGAATCCCAAAGCTACTTGAAAGTGATGCCGCAAAAGGTGGGCGATTATTTTACCTGTTGAGCACTTCACTCTTTTTACACGTTTTTCCCTTTTACAGCTGCAAAACGTTTGCCTCATGACAGAGATAATCTAGAGAAAAAAAGAACCTAAGAAGCTCGAATAGTAATTGCGATCACAATGCGTTTGGGGTTTACTCGTATTGTGATAACAACACTAATATTAGTGAGCATCACGATTCGTTTATTTTTCTTTATTCTTCTCCTTACTTTTCATTTCCCTTGAATTTCCATTTCCTCGGTTTATAGGTTCTTCCCTTCTCTCCTCTTCATCTTCAATTTATAGAGTATTGCATTTTCCTTTACGTTGGTGTTTTATTGGCATCGTAACGGGGAGGAAGGCTCACTTCATAATAAAACAGAAATTGATTTACCTTACCGCTCACGTTCGCAATCATATTAGAAAAGTTAATGTATACGAACCATACCTGTCAGCTTCCGTGCGATATTGTCACCTACAAGCTAAGTCCTAACCGAACCAAGCAATTAGTGGGGTACGGCGGACGCGATGGTGCCCTCTATGTCTACCCCTTTGCAACCACCTCACCGCAGGCCCGCCTTGAAGAATTTACAGTCCCGGTAACTTCACTAGGGTTCACTTCAAGTCAAAGCTCGGTGGTAGGTGGGAGTAGTACAGGTGGGCTGCATATGTGGAGCTTAGCCACGGAGCAAGTCGTCCGCACGTTTAAGGGGCATAAATCCACAATCACCGACATCGAGGTGCACACGTGTGATTACCTCACTGCGAGCGTCTCCACGGATACCATTTTAAGGATTTGGGATATTCGCAAAAATGTCCGTGTGCAGCTGCATAATAACGCCAAGGTGCCGCTCCACAAGGTGCAGTTTTCACCAAATGTCAAATGGGTCGCCACGGGTTGTGCGAATGGAATCGTGAGGCTATATAACCTCGGCACGGCAAATCTAGAGGCGTCCCTGGACCTCCATAGGGGTGCTATTACGAGTCTTCACTTTCATCCTGAGATGTACTTTATGCTGATTGGATGCGAGGACGGCACGGTGGCACTATGGAACCTTGAAACATTCACCATTCAATTCCAGAGCAACATCCTTAATACACAGGTGGACTGCGTGCGATTTGGCGGCTCGAATCTTTTGGCCGCCTCCGAGCACCAGCTCCACATCTGGGATACGCGGAACTTGAGCGATAAGGCCGTCCGACACAAAGACGCGCCGTGGGGGCCCTTTGTGGATAT